AAAAGTTGACTTTTGTCTCCATTAGACTTCTAATAAACTTGTTTATATCTGTTATATGGTCTTACTCCAAATGCTTTTAGTGCAACTTATGTGGTTAAGTGGACCTTGACTTGGAGATAAAAGCAGTCCTCCGTCATTCATTATTTTGATGCCTTTATTTATTTATTTTTTGGACCACAATCTTCACATATGAACTGTGAGGTTGACCTTGAATTGTTCGTTCCTCTGACAGAACTAAAATAGGGTCCACCTATGTTATGCTACAGCTACATTTGCCAAGACACTGTGCAACAACTACTTTATTGCCAGTGACCTTCCAATCAGATCCCTTTTTTTCACAGCCAAAGTAGTAGTCATATCAGGTTTAAAAAAAATAAATAAAAGAATTAATAATTCACATGCATGCATTACAGACTTTTTTTAATTGATAAAATGTCTAAATTTCTAGAGGTAAATAAAGTATGTTGATGATAAATGTAGTATGTAGCAGCCAATAAAATCAAAGATGTATAAATGTTCACTTTTGGGCCATTATCCCTTCTACATCCATCACCTTACCCATAACACTTGTAATTGGGTAAGTTGTTTTTATTCGTCTTTCCTTTATTTTCTCTCTCCGTCCTCCTTTCTTCCATCCTTGGTGAACTAATTGAAGGTAGCAGGAGGCCACAGCACGCATTGGTCGGTAACGAGTGCCAAATGCTTGACCGCTGCTAACATCAAGCCCTCTAATTTGCTATCTCAGACGGATGAGGACCATTAGGTATAGGTAAATGCGCTGTCTTCTCCACACACTCCTTCATGTTTTAGATCGTTGTAAACGTAGACTGTCAGATGTTTCTTGTTTGGATGACAGTAGAGAACCTTGATCGAACTGATTGGTTTCTTGCTGGAACGAGCTTTGAATGAGGGCTGCTTCACGCTCTGTGACACAGCGCTCTCTCATTATCGCGTCATACATCTTCAAACCTCTGAACATGCTGAACTTAAAAGAGCAATAACTCTATGTAGTTATAATTGATAGGAGAGACAGAGGCAACTTTTGGCTGCCCCGAAGCTCTTGCATCAAAAGTTTTTGGCTCAATTAAAACCTGAACATACAGTAAAGTCACTTCTTTCACTCACATTATCTTTGTTGAGCTCCTCTGTCTTCCTCTTCTGAGATCAGAGTGCCTTAATTACCCATAACGCTTCATGAGACCCGGGGTTGGTTCATGAGGCAGTGCCATTCCTTCTGTCGGTGTTGTTAGAACAATGGTTTGGCTTTATATTCTCGTCAATTTTCTAAATTTGCTGGAAAATGTACTAATTGGGGCTAATGATGGTCAAATCAAGATTTTAAAAGCCTCCCAAATGATCCAGCCCACATAATGTTAAAAAGATCAGGCTGAAATCCTGTGCGCTGTGCAAATATTTAAGTAACTGTTATTTTGTGGTGTAATCTGTCAAAATTTGGCTGCTCTGCAAAGTTTGCTTCTAATTATACTGTCGCTCTCCTACACATGAACACATGCTTCCCTTCCTCTGCGAGGCCTAAAGCTTTTCCAAAGATGCACCCAATCAACAAAGATGGTGTCGATTCATTTGCCTCTTTGTTTGGTGTAATTAGCTGGTGATGAACAGGCGGCAGAGAAACACATATTTTAGAGATGCCACCACAGAGCTGCAGCTTTAGCTTCCTGTTTAAGAATTAACAGCGACAGTGCTGTGAAAAATATTGGCTGTTTGGAGAATTATTTCCTTTGTGCTTTTTCCTCAGACTGAGATTTGTGGAGGTTATCAAAAATATTTAATATCGGGCAAAGTTAACCTGCAAAAATACAACATTTTCAAATTAGGAGTTTAGTTATTTTAAAAAGAAACAACCATGTTAATCTTACCTGATGTAGCCAGCAGATTGATTTTCCTCTACAATCCTCATACCTGATTTAAAAAGACATCAAGGATTAAATAAAATGAGAAAAACAAAAAAACACTGTTACTAAATGATGAAATAGAAACTATCTCACGAAAGTCATTCCATGTCATTGGAGTATCTCATGTTTATAGCTCTGAATCAGGAAAACCTTTCTTGCATTGTGTTCGAGAAAGACATGAGATAAGGACTGCCTGAAAGACTGTGGTCATTCACACAGGTTAATCTTTGCAAAAAATAATTTTTTGGGGATTAATCAGTCTTCTCTGTCTGCGAGGATAAAACAATAAATGTGTTTGCAGCATAATATAAATAAATCTCAGTATAGATCTAGATTAGCATAGTAGTTAAAGTTTGCATTCTAGTTTGTTTTCAACATTTCTCCTCTCTGGATGACAAATCTGGATGACAAAAGGTTCCACTGCTTGTGCATTGGTGTGCACACAGCCCTCCTGTTATTGTTTCCTTAGTGTAGCGAGTGTAGCATGAGGACCTCAGGACTCAGTAGTGGCAAAGGCAGAAGCGGTAGCAGCGAAGATTTGGTAAAACAGAGGTGTGATTGCTTTTAAAGCCAAACACATCAGCTGCAGTGTGGCAGCACTTTGGATTTAAACTGAATGACAGTGTTATCATTTTGTGGGTCGATTTATCGTAGAGCAAAATTTGTTATCACGGCCAGCCTAGTCTCCTCTTCATTTTCCTCTGGTGGTTTTGTTTGTGGACTATATGAAATGAGAAAAATTAGAGTCAGGAAGAGGGTCAAAATGAACCTTTTTCATTACATGTATTTAGTTTTCCCATAATTCCTAAAATATGACAGTAAATAAAACCTGAATTTATCTGAAAATTGGAAAGCTTGTTTCTACAGTAAAGTGTTTTTAAAGCTTTATAAAGCCATAAATGCTGCAACAAGCTTAAAGATAATGTTTTATTTTATCTAATGAAACATGTGGTTAATGGTACAGTTCTGTGTCAACCTTTCTGACTGAAGCTGCTAAGAAAGAACCAGACATAACAGCCTTTGACACTTCATTTGGAATTTGTTTAGAGGGTAGAGTTTGCTTCGATCTTTAGTCAAATCCCATTTATAATAGAATTTGTTGTGTACCTAATCGCTTAACCTTATCCCATTTAATTTTGGAATTATGTTGAAAAAACATTGCATGATTAAAAAACAAAAGTGGGTCTTCTTTTCTCTTTTTTAAAATTTTACTGTGTATTGTACTCTCTTCAGTGAGTGTGTTTCAACTCCCTTTTGATGCTATGGGTACAAGTGGTGCTTTCTCTGTCATTCCAACCTGTTTTTTTCTTTGTCAAAGCTTTAGGCTATAAAACTGTTCTAAACAACATTGGAAATCAAAAAAGCTAGTGCTACAGTGGAATTTAGTAAAACAGTTCTTCCGTGTCAAACTCCTGTGTCAGGAATTGGTGTAAAGAAATATTGAAGCTGAAAGCTTCACTAGGTTTGGATTCCCTAAGTGCAACTTTGGCTTTCATAGAGCTTTTCTGTCATGCACAGGTAAGAGCACAACCATATACTTTTCCTGCGCAAAACCACACAATAGAATCCTTCTTCCCTTTGTCTCTCTATAATCCAAACATGTGCCACATACAGACTTGGTCTGTGCTTGCGTCACAGTGAGAAGAAAGGGTTTTTGCTACATTTTCTTCAGTACTCTGTATCACAAATCAATTTATATGCAGCTATATTTGCTGCCACAGAGAGATACAAATACATTGCATCCAAAATAAGAAAAAAAAATCACCAACCTGGGTTGGGGAATGTTCCTTTGTGTTTGTTCTTTCGAAAGACTGACTGAAGTTCATGACCGCTCTGCTTCCATAGAGAGTTTCTTTCTTGGACAAAATGAATTCATATGGTGTCTAATAAAGAATGAAAACACAGTTTCAGACATGGTCTTAAATACATAAACAAGAGAAGGGAGTGCATTCTTTTGCAATATGAAGTTAAATGTCAAGTGATTCAAGGCTATGTCCTCTCACCGGAAAATAAAACAGAACTGTAGTGACAAAAAAGTTAAGTAAAACAGCTGTGCGCCTAAAGAAATTAAACTTTATTCATAAAAGCTAACACATGAGTTTAGAAAAAAGGGAAAAAAAACTTTTTTGAAAGAGAGTTGAAACTTATTGCTTGAAATTAAACAAAATGACCTTAGAATGCCACAAGTTTTAACATCTTAGGCTGAGATTGTTGGTAAAAATGGAAGAAGTAAAAACAGGACTGGTGTCAAGCCCCGATCTATCTGTAGGTCGGTGGGTCGACCATAAATAATTAGTAGACAGCCATGTTTATGTCGACTGATCGTACCCTGTGTAAATTCTCTCTCCAGACTACAAAAGAACTATGTAAACACTATCAGGACCAACACTTGATGTATGTTGCTTGTTTTATATGTTATTTGGTTGTTTGTTATTAGCATAGCACATATTTAAGCCCCATTGAAGTTGTTTAATTGAAAGTTCTTCGAGACCTAATGGATGACTGCAGACAAATTTGAACAAATTTGATAAACATTGTAAGGAAACGATCAGAATTTCTTTCACTTGAACATGGAGACAAAAAGTCTCCACAAAGAAAACGAAGCACTTTTTCCCCGCTGCCATCAAAATGTTACACTTCTAAACTGGACTCTGCATCGAACTTGCAGCAACTGAATCCTTCCTAATGCCTTTTGCACCACTATTTTTAAACTGGTTTCTTTTCTCCTATGCTGTTTACATTCTGATCACTGCTGCACTTTATAAATAGCAATGTTAATTTCACTGTTTGACTGTTGTAAGCTGTATGCAATGGAATTTCGTTCTGTGTACAATTTTAAACCTGCCTTTATATCCCCAACAGCCTTAGACAAGTTTTTTTTTTTTCTTTTACTTGACTATGAATGCAATATGTGTGAGACATTTCAGTAGCTAAAAATCAGATCAGATGCTAATGGAACAAACAAAAATTTGAAAGTTAACAAAAATGGGGCCAAATGAGATTTTCTTCTCCCACAGCAGGAGCAGTGAAATAAGTTCTAGTATATCTCACTGTGTACATCTGTGTTCTTTTGTTTTGCTCCAGGACTTTCGAGCAGGGCTTGGTATATGTGAAGTAGAGCTTACCGCTGCTAACATTAAAGAAGTAGACCGCCGAGGCTTTGAAGTCAACACGCCTTTCAAAAATTTCTGGTAGGTCTCCTCTACATTTCTGGGTTTTTTTGTGTTTAGCTGCTTTACTTCACCTTAGATAGTCATACGTGTGTGTGTGTGTGTGTGTGTGTGTGTGTGTGTGTGTGTGGGTGTGTGTGTGTGTGTGTGTGTATACACACGTATTTGACTCTTTTTTTTCATTTTTTCTCAATATGACCCAGTAAATTACAGGAACTGCCTGTTTTTGTAGGACATAAGTGAAAAATGCGGGAGTGGTGTTTTTTTCTTCTTTGTGTTGATTGGCCGCTTTAAGACCATGAAATCCACTGTCAGACAGAAAGTCATTAAGCTTAAAGTATGAACATAATCAGTGACCTAATGCTTAAGTTTATTTGTAGTAGGAAAGTGATCAAAAATGACATTGGCACTTCCACCTCAAAATGGCTAAACAAAAACTAAACAGCACAGCTTTTAGTGTGGCCTAGTTAAAGCTTAAATCCTCCAAGCCATCTGATATGCATCATTTCATGAGCTCATTCGTGGTTATTGCACACACTTTGTACTTCTTCTGTCTAAGAGTGGCACAACCAACTATTAGGTTTAGGGGGGATCTTACTAACTCTAATACTTTTTTTAAATAAATTTCTCTCCATTATAAATGCAATCACCAATGTAAAAAAAAACAAAAAAAAAGGATTTGAATTTTCTCTATCTTTAACTTGTTCTATTTTTTTCTAACGAAAAACTTCTAAATAAGACAAGTAAATTGGAAGAAATGCATCTCATCTACCTTTTTTGATATGTTTTTTTTTATCCCAAAATGAATATGAAAAATATAAATCTATTATAATAGTTATACAATTTTTAAACTCTTGCTGTGTAAAGAACAGCTTTTCAGAACTTTGCCAATATCCTCTTTTCAAATCCAGCCTTGCTACTAGGAAATATGCTCCTGCTTTTTTTTTTGTTTCCTCTATGCTTCCATTTGCTCAGCATGTATTCAGTAGCTTCATTTTTCAGCAGCTTTTCAAAGAAATATACTCTTTAACTGAGACAATGCCATTTAGTATTTTTTGTTTTTGTACATTCAAAGCTCCTTTAAACATAGCAGCAGTTATTAAAGCCTGAAAGGGACAAGGCCAAGTTGTACATCACTCTGTATACACAACCTGTGAAAAGTCAAGAAAAATACGGTTTTAGTAGAAACCAGGTTAATTTTGGATATAATTATTTGGGAAAGCAGCAGCACTTTTAAAGTAATGCTAAAGATTCTGCAAATAGTCTGAACTAAAATGGTCCAGGTGTGTTTGACTAAATATTATGATCCCAAATGACCAAAAAAGCAAAAAACAGAATGAACCAGGCTCACTGTGAGCGGCCATCTGCTGAGGCCGGCTGGGGTTCAAGGAGACAGAAGCAGAGATACAAAAAGCAGCTGTAAAAGGCGGCCCCTTCCAGGAAACACACAACCATGCAGATGAGCTCCGAGCCAGCTCCCATGTCAGAGGATGAAGAGAGCACATCCAGCCAGTCATGGTCAGAGAAACAGGACTACACTGGAAACAGTCCGATCTCCAACATCTATAAACAGGTGTTGATGGCAGCAGCACAGCTGATGTTTGCCTCCAGGATGGTGCCACAGCCAAACAGGAATAGACGAGGCAAAGCTACCATGAGAAAAAGCACTAACAGATTCTCCAGTGGGAAAATAAAGATAGATTGAAGCAGAATGATGAAAAAGGCGATCGACTGTGAGATATGTGTCACTAACTCAGCAGATCTTGAATATCCAGTATCCAGTTAAAAACTAACTTCACTGCAGGCAGGGAATTTCCAGTTTACTCTTTCCTGAGGCACCTAAAAAGGCTTAGAAGAGCTAAAAGTGTTACTGTCAACACAATTCCAAGGTGAAAATGCAGCATTTTCTGCAGGTCCGCACCAGTTCGAGCACGAGCTGCAGCATTTAATGCCATGTAATAATCCGGAGAATTATTTGCATTGGACATGGCAAACACCAAAGGAAAAAAACAAAGGAAGTCATTGATTTACTTCCAGAAACATCTGAGCAAAACAGGAGATTCATTAAAAACAAATCCATGCACTGACATTGCAAAAAAAACGCAACAAAAAAAGATCTCCATATGCTGTCCTTTTGAGGTGTAAAATGTAAAAATAATGAGCAGGCATGTCAAAAAGTTAAGACGGTGCTGTGGTGACACAAAAGACAAGTTTGCTTTTTCTTTATTGATCAGCGCTTCCTGTCAAATCTCTCTCAGGAAGCACCTTCTGAAATCATCATGCATCCACACCCAGTGTATCGATCAGCACGATGTCCACAATATATGAAAGCTATGTCCCATACAAAACCCGCTAATTATTGATCAGTGATGTTTTTATGAAACGCCCTCTCAGAGATTTGTGGAGGTATCTCTGCAATTTTAGGGCTCGAAGCCTTTTAGGTGACTCCCATTTCCCGAGGGCTCAAAATCAATGGCCACGCAGCTTGTTTGTGCTGTAATGGCCAGTTTAGAATACAAGCGTGACTTCTGCCCAGAAGAGAAAGGGTGTCTTGTTTGTAGGTGCATGCTTGTTCCCCGTTTCCCCTTTCTTTTTTCCATGTGTAAAGATTTTTATTTTCTTTTCACCCTGGTGTTACAAGCTGTATTTTCTTTGTTGGATCGATCTATTTGTGGCAGCTACCTTAACAGTCCCGTCGTTAGGTTTCTTTGTTAGTACACTAGTTGTAAGTTTAACAGAAGAAAGGAGAGGCGTAAAAAAAAAAAAAAAAATCACAATTAGCTCGAATCTGCAGAATGGTTTTGATAAGGTCACTGCTAAAAGGGTTTTACTCTATGCGTAAGTGTGTTTGTGGATCGAATCGATTGGTGGCCCTGCAAGCATTCTCAAACCTGCTCAAGGTGAGGATTAGTGAGAAACCCATCTAATCGCTTTAAGCTGTGCAGCCTAACTTTGTTTTTTCCATTGTTTTACAGCCTTTAAATGGACACAGTGTTCTGTCCACAGTGGGAGATGTTTCAGGCCACTTTTATGGCAAAAAATAAAAACAATGATCAGAGCCAGAGGAACGTTTTATGAAACAACAAAAAGATGTAGACAGAAGAGATAAAAGATAGAGCAATCAGAAAATGGTATGGTTGCTATTGATAAGACCAAATTACAACTACAACTCTGATTTTTGGCTGCCAGCTTTAAAGATGGAGGACAACTTTTTTATAGAAAAAATGTCCTCAATTAGGGTTCACATATTGAC